TTTGTCCCAAAATTAACACTTCTAGTTAATTATTTGTTCAAATCGATTAACGTATAGGACCAGCAAGTGCTAATGGTAAACTGAACTCGTTTTGAGATAGCAAGGGAAACTGACTCAAAATCGTTTAAATTGAGCCTCAGAAATCATCTAAGCCATGACTTTTGTCAATTTAACGCAAAATTGTGACAATAATCCGCAAATAACGTTATTGAAACAGAACAAAACACTAACAAGACTGCTCGTATCACGGCGAAGCCCTGAATGTTCAGACGGCTTTTAAGGTTTTATGGAGCAGTAATAACATTAAAAAATTAAATGTGAAAAAATGAAATTTTTTTCTAAAATTTGGAATGGCATTGAAACACTAATGGCCGTGGTTTGAAAAAAATTTTGTAGTGTCTAGAAAAACAAGTTACCGAATTTCCCGGGTTTTAAGATTATTATTTGGAACAGAAATTTCAGCTTGTACTTTGTTCTAACTGTTGTTCGATTTTGCAATATTGTTCCTTTTTTACCTTTTCTCATTGGTTGGCCATTGATTTCCTATTTCGCCCTAAAACTAAAAAAATACAATTTTTTAAGTGTTTAGAAAAAATGTATCTTTGTTTCACATTTCAATATGACCACTTGATAAACTTCCTACCACTAAGCTGTTAATCAAATTGAAAATTGGTCAAAAAAACTGTTAAAACTTACTAGACAAAAAATAAAAATTACCTACACTTTTGAAAAAAAAAGTTTTTTTTTCCATCAGATCTGTTTTGAGAACATTTAAGTTTTTGGTGTTCGGGAGCACTAAAAAAGCTTCAAAAACAATTGAAATAGCCACATGTTTCCACAAGTTTTTTTGTTCAAGTTTGCTCTAAACTTGTTTCGTCAAATTTCGGCACAATTGAAAAAAAACTTCGGCCATCTTGAACATCGTGAACGCTTACACAATTGACAAAAACAGATTCAAACAATTCATCCGCTTTTTTATTTCACTTCCAATGACAAGCATTTACTCGTTTCAACCTCAAGATGAGAAATAACCTTCTATTCATGGTTTTTTTTTAAACTTGTCATTTAATAAAATAATCGTCGGACAGGGACAAACGATAATTACTTTCAGTTGAGATTTCGTTTAGAAAATTTGATATTTTTTTGTTTTTGAGAAAAGTTGTCTTACACAAATGTAACTGATTGTCTGCAAATTTGTCACTTCATTAAATATTTTAATTTCAGAAATTGCTACAGAAATTCTCCAAGCATACGTACGCTTGATGCCGATTCAAGTATTTGCACGACTTATTAAAATAACATCAATAACTTTGTCTAACAATTTCCATTTTCAGATAACATTCACTTTGACATTTATACCCTACTGTTAGATTGTTTTTTAACGACAGCTTCCTTTTTAATCTGTAAGTTGATTTTAATAATATCAATTTTGATCTGAAATTTTGGTCTTTTGGTCTAGCGATTTCTCTTTCACGATCGTGACTTTTTTAACTTAAAAATAGTGGCTTTTAATTGTTAATCTTTTATTAGATAAATTTCTTGGAACGAAAGAAGAAGAGAATCAATTTTAGATTAAGAAAAGAGCAAACAAAACTTAAAGAGAATGTGTTAATAAAACTGAAAAAATATGGTGTTTTTTGGAAGACGTGATCATAAATTCAAGTTTTTTTCATTTTTAAGTACCGCGTTTTTATTGAAGATATTTACTTAAGTGTTTTCCGATAGGATCTGAAATGTATATCTTGATGGCGAAGATGACCCTTTTCACAGCTATGGCTTGGGCAACGAGTACATCCATGAGAGGGTATCGAGACGAGGAACTGTACAAGGGTGGCATATAATCTAGCCCAACTAAAACCAAAAAATGCACCACATAAACCATCAGACATCAATATTGGGGCAGTCACCAAATGACATTTAACTAGCAAGCTCGTATCCATTGATTAATCGGCTCGCAAAAAATCAACAATCAGCAAGCTATTCAAGCAATGAAACTTGAATAATTTGAGTGATTCCATATAGTATATCTGATTGCAAACTTTTTGTTTTAGCTTGAACCAATTTTCAAATCTTTTCTGAGCAAATCTTTCAAGTGATTAAAGTTGTATAGTTTTTTTATGTTTTATCATATCTTAGATCAGTTCGCAAAGTTTTTTTTTCCGAGCAGGCCATTCAAGCGATGAAGTTCTTAAAATCACTCAATTATTTCGTAGTGAATCGGTTCGCTTGAAATTAAAGCTTTCATCAGCTAACAATAAACCTAAGTAAGTTACCCGAACAATGAAAATTTGAAATTTAAAGTCTATACCATGAAAAGCTTCGAAAACATTAATTGTTTTTAGCAAAAAAATTGAAGCAGTGATCTGCAAAACTTTTATGGTTATCATATTGCGTGAGTAGGTTCGCAAACATTAAGCAACACTTCATTGCCTGAATCGGCTCGCAATTTTCCAAAGATTATTCTCAATATAATTTAAATTATATCAAATAGCTAAGAGGCTCACAGTAAAAGTAAGTCTTTCCATGCAAACTTATCAAGCGTTACGAATTTGATTTTTTTAAAGTTAATTCATATCGACAAAAGGTCACCAAAATCTGAATTGTTTCTAGGCAAGCTATTGAACCGAAAAAATGTGAAAAAACCCAGTTCCCAGTAGAACGAGTCGGTTTGCAAAAAATTAAATTTGAAAAGCAAAGCAATCAAGCGCTGAAACTATGAAATGCACAGAGTTATTTCAATGAGCTAAGTAGTTTAAAAAAAGTAATCAATTCAAGAAACTTTAAAATTTTTCATGTGATCAACCAAATCAGCAATGGAAGTTTGAAAATTTTCATATACTTCATAGAGCATTCAGCTCTTGAAAAGTTTTTCTGAGCCTTTTGTTAAAGCAACAAAAGCCCGAAAAAATTGAAAAGTTGTTTTTATAGTTTGGAAAACTCTGCAAAAAAAAACAGAAAATAGTTAAAACGATCTTTTGAAACGATGAAAGTTCGAAAGATTTTTTTTTTTTGTAAATCTGATTGCTTTGAAAAATAGTTTAAAATTTTTGAGCGGCCTGTTGAAGCGCTGAAAACTTTTGAAGTTCTTATGATAGCTTAGATTGCTTCGCGAAAACGTTATGTTTAGTTAAGCAAGCTATTGAATTGAAAAAATATGAATAAATTGCAAAAAGATGAAGTTGTTTAAAACAGCTATTGATGCAATGACACTTCAAACTCTAGAAGCTTCTTTGCAATCTTCTAAACGTTGAGCCCATAGAATTTTGTTAAGCATTCCGCTCGACAAAGTTAAAACATTGGATCCAGTTAAACTTTGCGTACATGTGCGCTACAATTTCTTTTGATACATACAACTAGAAAACTAAGTTGTTTCAGCATAAAACGTTCAATTTCTTTTTTAAGTAGTTTTTACCATGAAAAAAGCGAATACAAACCTAACAGTTTGGAAAAAAACGTTCACAGCAAACCTCTGATCTGCTGACTTGAGACTGAATAGGTGATCTTTTCTTCAATCATATCAAGAAACAAATATACTTTAAACAAAAAAAACTCACTGAATCAAAGCAGTGCTTCCTCAAATACTAAATTTCGAGTTCTTGCCAGTCTTGAATTTGTATTTTCCGCTTCAGTTTTTTTATTTTTATAGCTTATCTTTATTAATTTAAGTTCCTCAGGATATGTTATCCGTGAGGCTGCGGTATGAAACTGGCCATGCGAAGAAACTGGCACTTCTAACTAAACTGCAACACGTCGCAATGTTTAACCTTGAACTTCATTTATCTTCAAAAAAGAACCTGTCGCAGAGGAAACTGCCTTCTACGCCTTTTAAGCGGAACGTCGTGTGTTTCATCGATGATCAAATGTATTATTTAACAGTTTGCATCACCGACAATAAGCCGAGCACCATTGCAAAAACCAACTTGTGAATTCAAATTTCGTAGAAGACTTACAGGCAATCCTGGTTTCATTACAAGGCAATGCTCAGGAACTCCTGGCACCGATAGTGTATGAGAAATTCTGGAGGATAACGACTATGAAGGTCACAATTATACACTCAATCAGCACTGTAAAAGAGAACACCCTATCCGAAGAATTTTTTGGAGCACATACGATTGATTTCATTCGAAGTTGCATTCGTAACAGTCAGCACACAAACCGCTTCAGAATTTGAACCGTACTGCAACAAACTTCCACGGTTCAAAATGAGTTTTCTGAATAATGAAATTTGAAAAATTAGACTTAAATCTTATACAAAAACTAACGGTAAGTCCATCGCCAAAGACCCATGGAATCATGCGCTCCAAGCAGCTGTGTCTCTCATTCTTCTCAAAAAAGCAGGTTTTTTCAGGGGCAACACAACATCTATGCAATTGGGCATTTCACCATTACCGTCTTTAAGCATCCCATCATCGTACTCTTCGGCTGCTACAGCGGAATCAGCACGAGAACGTTTCCTTTCAAATGAAAACTTACAAAATTTTCCGAAGTGGTGAAAATTTCAAGCAAGCAGCTACACCCTGCGCACCATTTCCTGCCTTGATCACTGGTAGATTCTGCCTACAAAAACAAAAAAGTCCTCAAAACTGTACCTCATTTTTCGATGATAATTTTCAGCAACGAACAGTGACCTACAATCTCCCGCCTAAAGCTAATTTCTTGGCTCCAAAATAACACCTTCATTTGCATCGCGCAGATTTTGATCGAAGGCCTCAAGTAAAACTCGGTGAGCCATTGGCTCTTCGTCCCACACAATTATTTTGACAACTCTTGTGCAACCAGCAAGCTTCGTTTGAAGTGAAATGTCAAGGAACGAATCTTCTTGAATGTCAATGGGTGCCCCTAATTGAGAGTGAAAAGTTCTTCTTCCATCTAACTCAGTGGAGGTAGTTCCACTCTTTGCAACCGCAGTTGCCGGGAAAACATTGTCTCCAGTTCCAAAACGGGCCGCCGCAAGAATAGTATTGAGAGTTTATGTCTTTCCGGTTCCGCCACGTGCATCA